CCTACCGATGCACGGCGTCGTGCATGCAGGTGAATAGTAGGTATATCCCATAGCCTTGCACCGGCACGGTCCCATACCAGGGCACATCCCTCAGGCCCGCCTCCGAGAGTTTTCCCAAGTGATGAGCGAGGAGGGGGGGAAGGAGGAAGCATCCGTAGCCGGCTATAAACACTCCCAGCGTCGGCCAAGCCACCCGGGGCAGCGAGAGCTCTTCTGAGGTGGCGAGGGCGGTCTGGGGAAGGGAGGGAGGGTGGGAGGGAGGGAGGGTGAGCCTTCGGTTCCATTCCTCCCATCGACGACGTGCCCGGTTGCACCCAGAAAGCCGGTTTTCCTGCCACGGCGCCCTCTTCCTCCCGCATGCACGCCCTCCGGATCCTTTCTTCTACCAAACAGTCCTTTTTTCCATGATATCTTTTCTTCATCGGCCCTCTCTGCCTCTTTCTTGCCCCGCCCGGGGGGATCTCCCGCTTGCCCTACCCGCTTCCCAGCCTTCTTCATCCTTCCCATCTGCATCGCTTTCGCACGCCCCGCGCCCCGCATTTTCATGTCATCTCCACTGGTGAATGCGGAGGGCGACGAGGCAGTCCTTGTCGAGGAGGGAGAGGTGGGTAAGCCACCAAAAGGGTCCGGCGCCCGGAGCCCTCCTTCCCTTTCGAGCTCATCCTTCCCCTGTGGAGGGCCAGATGGTCGCATTAAAGCGTCCGCCAACACTGCCTCTTGCTCGTGCACCTTCATGTGTGCACGTCTTTCTTTTCCCACGTCTGTGGTTGCCATGAATATGAACATAAAAGGTGGGGTAAGTGCGCTAATTACGTACGAACAAACCGCGCTGGCGTATCGTGCTAGCGCGACGCTTCGTCGCACACATGCGTCCTTCTCTTTGACACCCCACGCGAGCTACGGGACACGACCATGCACACCTTTCGTACACAGCTCCACCCTTGCACAAGCAGTAGCTATGTAGGGGCGCGAAGGTACGCACATGCGACTTCTCGTCGTCCGACACACAAATACAACGTCTTTTTTTTCGCTGTGGCGTCGCGACCGTTGGCGCGGCCCATGCCCCCCCGGTCCCGTCATTTTTTGTCAGAAACGAGCGAACGACGTGGACAAGGCGGCCGCACGACTGCTCCGCTCTATCTACAGGCCTGAGTCAGCGACAATGTGACATGGGGCTAGCAGGAATTGGAGTCGGGGGAAGGGAGTGACGCATATCAACTTTTGTGAAACCGGGTGAGAGGCGTTTGAGGTTTGCTCAGCCGATCCCTCGCTTGTTCGTTCCGGCAGGTCGTTCTCGTCTGTCAAATTTCTTGTCAAGCCAACAAGCTCATGGGGACTGACCTCTGCTTATGATCCTTATATGTCTGCGCATTAATTCAATCTTATTGAAAGGGGGCGCGTTCTCATGGCAGATGCCATGGACGGAGTGACCACGACCTCTGTCTGCGGGGTGGCTCGATGGATCCTAGCACGGAGCGAGGGAGGGAGACGTGAGAATCCCATACACCCGACGGACCTGTCCTGAGCTTTGACATCTTGGTAATTCTCATGGTTTCATTCGCAAAACAAGGTGTAGTGTGGCACCTGTCATAGATGACGCCCGCTGTAGAATGCGAGTTGATTGATTGGTCCTGTCTCATGGCGGGCTCCGGCTTCACCTGAAAAGGGGCCGTCACCACTCTGATACCCGCCCAAACTCGGGCAACGGCCTCAGCCACCGGGGGAATTCCGCTGATATTGAGGCAAGACGCGAATACCTTAGGCGTGATATGAAAAACATCGGGGATTGGTTCTTGTGGTTTGATGTGCGCGTGGTGGAGTGTTTATTCACGGCGGTTTTTTATCCTTACCACACAGAATGGGCGGGTTTCCAACGCAGATACCCACTGAGAGTACCCTGTGAAACGCTTCGTGTACGTCATTGCCAGCATCACTGCCTTGTTGGGCCTTCTCTTTGGCTACGACATTGATGGGAGGAAAGAAACGGGGTAGGGGGAGGTATCGGCAGTCACGTGGTGGAAGACAGTTGAAGGTAAGGTTATCCACGGTCTTCTTCATCTAAGCAACACCATTCCCGCCTCACATTCACGCCTCGACCCTTCCCATTCAGGGGGGTCCGGAGGCACCTTCGAAATGGCGGGCTTCCGACGGTTTTCCGGGTGGCCGGCCTTGGTGGCTAACCAGTAAGGTAAGGGAATAGAAAGTCTTCTCTGGATACTAGCTTTGTCATGCAGAGAGAGAGGAGGGGGGGGGTTGACGCGGGTGGTAGACCTCTGAGATGGAAGGGGAATGGTATCCTTTGGCCGGAGGAAGAAAAGGAGGAAGGATCCGATGAGGAGAAAAGGAGGAGCTTGAGGAGGAGAATATGTATGGAAGGAAGGGCTTGGGATAGCCCGGGACAGAGAGATGTGTGCGATGGCAAGGCAGGCACGGGAATCCGGCCTCGGCACTAGGCTTGGTCGCGGAGGAACACAGTGTGGGCAGAAAGTACGATGGCCGAGCACGCGTACAGGCGAAAGGTCGAGAGCTTGGACCGGACAATCAGATGAGGAGAGAAGTCGTGGTCGAGGGAAAACACTCCCTCGCGGTCCACATCATCCCGAACCACACTTTCCAGCTAATCCTTCCCTCCCTCTTCCTCGTCCCTCCTCGGACCTTCCTTTGATCAGGCTGGATCACCGCTATCTTCTCCCTGGGCAGCATCGTCGGCTCGCTCCCCTCGGGCTTCCTGACCGACTTCATGGGTCGAAAACGCTGCATCATATTCCTGTCCTTCGTCTTCACCGTCGGCGCCGTCATCCAGCTTGTCCCCAGCGGCTACCAGATGCTCCTGGCGGGCCGTTTCATCTCTGGCGTCGGTAGGTTCGGGCGGCGGCACGGGAGAGAAAGGCGGGGATCAGGAGGGGCTGGTTTCCTCTACTTGCTCGCTTGTTCCTTCTCTGGAGCGCAAGGGGTGGTTCGCGTGGACGTTCTTCCGTCCGAGATGACCAAACGTCGCTCGAACTCTCTGGGCGCTCCGCCTGTTTTGACTGCGTCTCGCCCACCAAGCCCTTCTGCCTCCCCTCCTACTCCCTTCCTTTCCAGGTGTGGGCGGACTGTCCATGGCAGCTACTCTTTACCAGTCAGAGACCGCGCCCCCCAAGGTGAGCCGACCTCTCATTCGACGTTCCTTTTACCTTCAATCCCTCCCTCCCTCCCTAACTTCCTACCTGCTCCACCCCTTCCCACCTTCTCTTCTTCCGAAGTGTTCCCTCCCTCCCACGATCCCTTCCTCCCTTCCTCCGCCGCCAGGTTCGAGGCCTGGTGGTCTCGATCCAGCAGCTCTCCTTCACAGCCGGCATCCTACTGGCCGGGGGCCTGAACGTGGGCTTGCAGCACTGAGACGAGGGCTGGCGCATCTCCTACGGTGGCAAGGGCTTCTTCTCCCTCCTTCTCATGCTCCTGATGGTAGGGATGGGTATTCACGGCCTGCTCTGTCAAGTTGTCAAAAGCAGCGGTTTGCTGGCTGCCTTTTCTGTCCCCCTTTTGTCTCCTTCGGTGCAATTGACGGCTCTGGGCATCCACTGAGATACACATCGCTTTCTGCCTCGCTCTGTTAGGGTTAGGGTTAGGGTTACCCGTCCTTATCAATCCCCATACAGCAGCGAATATGTAATTCTCCTTGTTCTTGTCTCTCCCGCGATATCTCTCTCTTCCAAGCTCACATTCACCGACACGGACCAACGATTCTCCTTCTTATCTCTCCTTCTGTACGTGCCATACTGCACCTTAGCTTTGTCTCCCAGAGTCGCCCCGCTGGCTGGTTGCGCAAGGTAAAAGTGAGACGGCCAAGGCTTCCTTAGGTGGGATCCGACAAGAAGATGAGACGGAGGGTGAGCTCGCTGGCATGCAGGCGGCTGTGAAGGTAGGGGAGGTCCTGGATGGGACCGGGTTCGAGGGCCATGAGGGGTTGGGGGAGGGTGGCCAATTGATGAGGATGAGAAGGAGAAGGGATAAGGGCATATCCTTACCGTAAGAGGAGGGTGGGTGAGAGATCTGGATCGAGGGTGGGAAACGGGGTTGCGACCGACGGAAAGACGGTGCCCGTGGGTGTGGTGGGACCGCCTAGCCAAGTATCACGAACCACCTCCAATACTAAAGTCCTCATGCGCGCGCTTCCTACCCGTGTTCTTCCCTCAGGCGGAGGCACAGATGGAAAAGGGCGCCTGGAAGGACTTGGTCTCGCCCGTGGACTTCATCTTGTACAGGACCATGCTGTTGGAGCAGTTCTCCGAGATCAATGCGGTAGGTTTCATCCCACTGACGGAGGGGAACAAGTGAAGGGTAGATGGATATGAGGGAAGGGATGATATTTGTGGTTAGACGCGGGAAGGCGCACAAGGACAGCAAGCAGGTGTAGGAGAGAAAGCGAGGCGAGTAGGGCCGGAGAGGGATTTGGAGAAGAATGGTCGGTGTCATAACTCGTGCGAGAGAGCGGTCCCCGTACAGCTGCTGCCTTGGTATGGCGTCCAAGAGAATCACGGCATCAGGCAGAGTTAGCCATAAGAGAAGACCAAAGTGTCCAAATCAGCATGATCGCCTCACCGAACAAAGGGACAGTCACGGCGTCAACGCTTGGCACGCTCAGCTCTCCCTTCCCCTCTCTTTCTGCTCTTTTCCATGCCGCTAGTCATGTACTTCGCCCCTGTCATCTTCAAGAAGTTCCTCGCCTCGGAGATGGCCATCCTCGCCACCTTGGCCGTGGCCCTCCTCAACTACCTCAGCACCTTCCTTGCCCTCTACCTGGTGGACCGGGCGGGGTGCCGGCTCCTTCTTGTCTGCGGAGGGCTGGGGATGGCTTTGTTCACGGGTGAGCGGTCCACAGGGGAGAGGCTAGTGAACTATCTCGATACTTGGTTTGGTGGAATGAAAGATAAAGGGCATTGTCGAGTCTTGTCTGTGCTGTTAGGGTTAGGGTTAGGGTTAGGGTTAGGGTTAGGGTTAGGG